TAAAAGGGAGTGATAAATGATCTAATTAGAGTTGAACGTGGAAATAATTAATGCCAGTAGTGGCATAAATAATAAGATCAATACAAAAATTGAATGTAAAACCACAAACACGCCAATTATACCTATCTTTACACGAATCTAAACTCATATGTTTACGAAACAAGAATAGTAACTAATTAACGGCCGCAGACTCCCGGTACCCGTGAGATTTTATCGTAAAGGCCTCGGGAACTTCTTTATGGTTTATGCTACAACCCATTAAAGCCAGATTTCTTACTCTTTATACGTGCGATTATATCGTGATTTAAGTTTGAAAATCCGAAATTTATGACGCGATAACGTATGATTATAAAATGAATAACGTGATCTTTGACATAAAAAACTCCCGTTGTCGCAACTACCTACTTGCGAAATATAAACCCAATTATTCGTTCTCACTTTGGGCATAAACTTGTTGCAGTTCTTTTCATTTTTGTCCAAGTTCCGTCCGGATTGGAAAACGTGTTTTTGTAACTTACCACCTTTCTTATAGAATCCTAGATTACCTGAAACAAAAATATCAATTCATTAATCAAGTTCCATTTACAAAATTTCCTAATTTAAATGGTGTGGTATACTTCTACACTCATATAGTAACGGAATTTTAGCACTAAGTAAGTAACCAAACAACATTTTCGTGATTGCCTCAACAAACACAAAATCTTTTTAAAGATTATTTATTCATTTATTTTTCAATTGCCTATTATATGCCAATTATATTATGTCATATGAGATAATATATAAACCAGTCTATGACGCCCGAGGGCATAATGAATAGTCATCTCATTATGCCCTCAAACGGTCTGTCAAATATATTGATGGAGTGATATTATGTAATAAAAAAAGATGCTACTTGATTCACTTGAAGCACTTTAATGTTGGGGTAACAATAATCTTTTCATTTTTATATTGGAAATGCATTATTTGGAACGATAAAAAATAAAATTTTGTATGCACCTCAGGCATTACTCGGTATTTAACCCTCGGGCGATTTACAATCCCTCGGGCCGGAGGCCCTCGGCATAAATATCGCCTTAATGCACTTGATGCATAAATAACTATTATTGTCCCTTTTGTTCCGGGCCCTCAACAGCCTTGCGCCCAATTACAGAGTGACCCACATAATGCTTTTAAGAGGTACTGCTGCAAAAGGTCTCAAGTAGTTCTATACTACTCCTGTATTTAGCTTACGAATTAGGAAAACTGCAGGAAAACCTAATTCGGAGTAGTCGACAGAATTTTTGAAACGGATCTAAGGAAATTTCCATCTCGCCACAGATGAAAAATGTTTACCTCAGCCCAGGTTTGAACACCCGACCTCCGGCTATGTAGCCCAACGCTCTACCACTGAGCCACATAGGATCGGATCGGTTATACTGCACACACCCCGCGCCGTTCAGTTTTAAATTTTAGTAAAATTTCAAATTACAATTAAAAGACTTACAAAATATTTCTAAACGATCTTTTTGAGAAAGTATATATTCCGTAAGAAAATAAGATTTCCTAAAGGCGGTACAAAGTGCTAGTTATTAATAAAAATTAAGCCATCGTAAAACAGCTACCTTGGATTATTTATAGGAAGATCAACATATGCGATCAGTATAACGTAAATTATATTAAATTGAGAACAGATTAATTAATTTTTTCTCGATTTCCCAATTCGTGTTTTCGTCGCGAATCGGTCCACTTCTCCGCTCGTTCGTTGTAAACCGAAGGTTCAAAATCGTTCGCCGAAACAGAACTGCTTCATCACATCCGACTCCACACTTGCCGGATAAACTGGTATGTGAAACCAATAATAACCGGCCAAAAAGATGGACAGTCGGTGACATCGAGCCTTGATTACGTGGCAGAAAACAATAATTTTGGGAAACCAAGAGACCAATTGAGACAGCCTTTTATTGAGTTTAATACCAGTTTGGTCACAGTTTGTTTAGATTATTTTGTAAGAATACGAAACATTTTTAGCCCCCTTCTTGAGGCCCATCTTTGATTACAACGCTTCCCAGATGACAAAAGCTTTTAATTATTGAATTTCTTTAAATTGACTATTATGCAACGCGCGGACGCATGCATTCTAATTGCCGAGAAAGAAAACATCTTCCAGGGTGCACTTATTATTGATTAAACCTAATTATTTGATTAATTGCCTTTTTTCTTCTTCTTTTCTATACTTCCTCTCTCTCTTAATTTTTTTCTTCCGTCCCATAAGTATTTTGGCAACCACTCCCGTTTTACGTCCTTGTAACCTACTCGTGAGCTTTCTATCTTTACCCTCTGTTACTGTACTTGTTCATAAATATCATAGTCAAGTGAAGTCAGCACATCTGCCATCCTTTCCCCTATTCTTCTCCTTCTTTCGGCCTCAGTATCCATTTCTTTCATAGTATTTTTCCTCTGTGCTTCTCACATTCCTTTTATGTGCATTATGTGCATCATTTTTTTTTACTAATTTACGCTATCCTTATCTTCTCCATTTTTGTTTCCTCGTCTAATATATAATTTGGCGTGCTTCCGTTTAGCCGTATTACCCATTTCTCTGTTGATCCCATTCTTTCCACCCCCATACCCCCGTTCCGTACATAAGCACCCCTCTCACCATTGCACCAAACAGGTATTTTCTTGTTCTTAGGTCAGTTTTTAAGCTCCCCTATCCTATTCCCCTCACGTTTCATCGCCACCCCCTTTTTCTTCGTTCCCTTATTTGCATATTTCATATTTCCATTTCCATTCGATCTCCCTTTTCCTTCCTCCTTCCCTCCTAAATCTCTTCATATTCGACTTTTCTACATTTAACTCCATTCTTCCTTTTCGCAGTACCTCTCTATTCGTCCCATCATTTTCTTCATCTGTTCCACCTCTGTTGCCAATATTATTGTATAGATCGCGTAAGCCAGGGATCATATTTTTTCCACCGTTCCAAAACGTAGGTATAACTAACGTTAAACTTAACGTGCTAAATAACGTAAAATAATGTTTTTTGACAGATAACATGCACGTTCAGTTTGACGTTTCTGATACATCACAGGGCTGATTATCGACACTTTTATGGGGTAGTTGTTAGTGCTATCAAAAGTCATTTAGCCGTCATGTCATGTGCCCTTTTTGGATCAACCTTATAAAGGTAAAACTCAAAATTTAAAAATATTGGGGAAAATTAAAAAAATGTCAATTTTAGAATGACCCTATATTTCTTAGTCAAAGAGATACGTACAGAACAACGTTTATTACAAAAGTTTCTTTATAATGACTGTAGAATAATCTGTTCAAAATAAATATTTGTTTAATGGTATATCCTGTATATTTTAATCTATAAATATAGGACATTAAATTCTCTTTTCAAAAATACAACACACAAGGGACGATATTCAAAAAGATTCAAGTGATTCAAAAAACGCTCAAAAAGATTTAAACAGATTTTAAAAATTCAACCATAGGTACAAATGATTAAAAATACAGCAAAATTTCAAAAATTTGTTCAATTCTCTTTTGATCTTTCTGAATCAATATTGTATTTGTTTAAATTTTTTTAGTTATATTTTTGAAAAGAGAAATTAATTTGCTATGTTTTAAGAGTAAAATATACAGTGTTGAATATAAAACAAGTTGTAAATCAGCATATGCATGATTAAAGCGCATTTTTGGTAATGCAGGTCAGTATTTTATTAGCGAAATTTAAAATTATCGATCTCACGAGTAATTTTGGCTGCGTTAAATAATTAATTTTATTTAATTTCAATTGAGGGTACGTCTTCATTTTGTAAAACAAATCACAAAGTAAATAATAAGTTTTTATACTGGTAGCGCTATCTAACGGTAAAATTATAGCACCTCCGAAACCCATATCGAAATTATTTTCTTCAATTATGGATCTCACAAGTAATCTAACTCAAAATAGACTAGTGCCTGCACATCTACACTATAGCAGAAAGCTTTTAGTGAAAATTTGAATTCTCTAGCTACTCTAGTTGTGGAGATCTCACGCGGACAGCCGGCCTGTCAGCCATATAATAGCGTATTTTTTCAAAAATGCGCTAAAAATGAGCTTAGGTCGATAACTGTTGTAATATGCGTTTATCTCTTTCATTAAAGGCGATTGACGTAAGTTACATCACTGCATATTTATTTGACGCGGATCAAATTACCCGATGGCGAAGGAGATGCGCGCTATACTTTTCTTCGATCGAGAAAGAGAAACCTGCGGAGTTTTAGTTGGGGCAGCAGAGAATAAACAATATTTTTTCTACAACTGAACCGTTTGTTAATTAATTTTTTTGTGCATTTTTTAAGAATTAAAAAAATGTGCTATTGTTTGCGTTTTGTCCGTCCGTCCGTCCGCACCCACTTCTGCCGTTTCGAACTACTTCTAGGGGAATGGTCCTAGAGTCCTGGAAGTTTTTGCAGTAGGTATCCTGTACCCCTAAAAGGCATAACTTTTACATACGACAACCAATTGGTCTCAGATTTTGCATACGCATGCCTTTAGTGGTGCCAAATTAAACTTTAGAAAATGGGGGGAGGAGGTAACACATGTTCTACCCTTCATGAAAGGTCTCATCGAAATAAATTGGTTTGTACAAACTATAACTTTCCCGTACGACTCTTCGGGATCAGTGAGCGACGGGGCGGGGGGGGTTCTATCTTTCATTGTATTCTAATTAAAGATCTCAACGAAAGGAACCGTTTTCTGACATCTACTGCCCTTCTTTCTGTCCTCTTATAAAAGTGCGGGGTGGAGGGGGTACTCACAAAGGGCGATTGAGACGTATGCAAAAAATATATCCATTGGTTATGTCAAAACAAAAGCTATTTCGGTAAAAAAAAATGCGTTTTATCTGCACAAGACTTGTGCACAATT